TGTGTGTGTGTGTGTGTGTGTGTGTGTGTGTGTGTGTGTGTGTGTGTGTGTGTGTGTGTGTATTCATTCATATATGTGTGTGTGTGTATTCATTCATATATGTGTGTGTGTGTGTGTGTGTGTGTGTGTGTGTGTGTGTGTGTGTGTGTGTGTGTGTGTGTGTGTGTGTGTGTGTGTGTGTGTGTGTGTGTGTGTGTGTATTCATTCATATATATATGTGCGTGTGTGTGTGTGTATTCATTTATATATATATGTGCGTGTGTGTGTGTGTATTCATTCATATATATATGTGTGTGTGTGTGTGTGTGTGTGTGTGTGTGTGTGTGTGTGTGTGTGTGTGTGTGTGTGTGTGTGTGTGTGTGTGTGTGTGTGTGTGTGTGTGTGTATTCATTCATATATGTGTGTGTGTGTGTATTCATTCATATATGTGTGTGTGTGTGTATTCATTCATATAAGTGTGTGTGTGTGTATTCACTCATGTATGTGTGTGTGTGTGTGTGTGTGTGTGTGTGTGTGTGTGTGTGTGTGTGTGTGTGTGTGTGTGTGTGTGTGTGTGTGTGTGTGTGTGTGTGTATTCATTCATATATGTGTGTGTGTGTGTATTCATTCATATATGTGTGTGTGTGTATTCATTTATATATATGTGTGTGTGTGTGTGTATTCATTCATATATATGTGTGTGTGAGTGTGTATTCATTCATATATATGTGTGTGTGTGTGTGTGTGTATTCATTCATATATATATATGTATGTATGTGTGTGTGTATGTGTGTGTGTGTGTGTGTGTGTGTGTGTGTGTGTGTGTGTGTGTGTGTGTGTGTGTGTGTGTGTGTGTGTGTGTGTGTGTGTGTGTGTGTGATGCAGTACACATCAAATACAGTTAATCAGTAACAAACTCAATTGTACCGATGTCATGCAACTTAAGTGTAGGTTAACGTTGACAACAGTTTCACTGCGTCTTATTTCATGTTTCCCTCAAGCCTAACAGACTTCATTCCAGATAATGCGAAGGTGCTGCTTATATTTCTGTCGAAAAAATCTTATCCAGTCTACTGCAAAAACAAGTATCAGGAAGAGCCAATTCACGTCAACATTCCCAGGCCAAAGTCCGTACTGCAATTTGGTGTTCACTGGAGATCCTATTCACACTTAATGAGATTCTCCCAGTACACAGTGACCCATTGACTTATATCAAACAATATAAAGCTAAGTTCCTCAATAAACTTACAGACACGGGACAGAAGACACACAGCTGAGCAGTGTCATTGCTCCCGTGTTTCTCTTTACGTTTGTTTACAGTGACGTCACTCCTCGTCCCCCTGGCGGCGAGCGGGGGAAGCAAGGCGCGCGGCCTTTGAATCGCGAAAAGGAAGCCCCGGGATGGTGTCGCACGCCGACGCTCGTTTGACTGAAGCAGGGATTCTCAACCTGTGGCGCATGTACCTCTAGTGGTATATTTGTACTGTTCAATGGTACACGTGTCACACCCATTTTTGATAAGGGAATGGCAGGTAACTGTCATTCCTGTATACGTAACTGCTCTTAGCCATTCCGTGAATTAGTTCCCACTTTTGTTTACTACTTTCCTTAATTTCATTATGCCAACTATAATGCATTATTAATCATTTTCGTGTTGCCATAATGGTATCCCTAAATACCGATCACGTTCAGGAACATATGTTTAATAATACGAAACATGACTTTGACAGACCCATTCTGAGCCACTTAATGTGTATGTCGTAGGCAGCATATATATTTCGACTTCATCTCCTGTTGGTAAGTTAGTCTACTTGCTATTGTTATCATTACTACTACTCTTATTGTTATTATTGTTGCTGTTGTATTATTACTGTTATTATCATTATTACCATTTGTTATCATTATTATCATTATTATTGTTATCATCATTATCATTATCATTATCATTATCATCATTGTTATGATTATTATCATTTACATTATTTTATAAATTCCACAGTTTTAGGTGGCGTTTATTGAGATAAGTCAATTTTCATGTCGCTCCCACTGACTTCAGAAAATAACCCGACTACGTTCTAGTCAATTTTCATGTTTCTCCTACTGCGTTCCAACAGAACGTCAGTTGCCTTTGCGATAATTCTTGCAGTTCCTAGCAAGCAAGTTTTTTTTTTTTTTTTTTTTTTGTAAGGATTCGATGTCAGATTCGCATTCTAACATGTGGTTAACCCTTCAGTTCGTCTGTACAACAAGCAAGCGCTCCTGTTGCCCTTCCCTGTACCATGAACTGGGGAGTTCATATTTTCTCTCTCTCTTTGTTTATTATTCCCGTGCGAAATGGACATGCCACATCAATAACGTGACACGTCTTTATTTCTTTTTCATTTACAATAATATCCAGTTTCTAGTATTGCAGCCTGTTAAGAGTCTGAATTAGGACATCCCATATAATCTGATAGGTTTTGAAGTAGTAACAATATGCTCATAGGATTTATCTTTATACTAAAAACCAGGTTTCTTGCAT